AAATCGCCCACCCGAAATGAATTTCCCGGTCCAGCCTTTCTGGCTGCAATGTTGAAATGTCTCGGGAATGGGAAGCGCTCTTGCTGGAAATGGCTGGACGCTGTAGATTCCGAGCACTGGATGGCTATGAAATGTCCCCCCAAGGTCAAGTTTCTGCGCCTGCGAGCTGCACCCCTTCTTCCTCCCTTCCCACCCCCCTCAGTAATAGGAACTAAAGTGTCGGGGCCCCTCCGCTGAAACAGAAAACCTGCCCACGAATGCGCCCCGTCTTCCCCCAATCCAGGGTGTTGTGGAAAAGAAAGGACAACAGAAACGCAGACGCGATGGATCGTGGATCCCTATCCCCTCCCACCCCCCATCCCCGAATAATCAGAAACTAGGAACCAGAGATGTTTAAAGCTTGGCTTCCCAAGCGCGGCGGCACGGCGCACGGGGCTGGTGGGTGTAGGTTGGGGGCGGGGCGGGAGCGCCGGGATCCCTCTCGCGCCCTAGTCCTCCGCGTTGGTTCGGTAGGCCTCGATGAGGCCCTCGAGGGAATGCACGAAGCCAGACACACTGCAGATGCCACCGATGACGAAGATGGCGACGTCGAAGAAGACTTGGTGCCACAGCAGCTTGCGCCAGAGCAGGCGCAGGTGGAAGAGGCTGGGCAGCAGGAAGCAGAGGCCGGCGCCCGTGAGGCTACCGGTGAGGCCCATGAGCAGAGCGAAGTGTGGCACATAGATGGCCATGAGCAGAGTGAAGACGACAAGCGCGCAGCGCAGCGTCAGCCCCCAAGACTTGAGGCGCCCGTCGCCTCCGTAGCAGGCGGGGAAGAAGGCACGGCTGCCTTCTTGGAAGAGCGACTTCTCCAGCACCTCGACAGCAGCGAAGAAGGGCAGCGGGTAGGACAAGAGCGCCTTGGCCACCAGAAAGATGTTGACCACAGCGCGGATGGAGCCGGGCAGGTTATCCGTAATGACCTCCTTGGTCTCGTCGGCCCAGGTGAGGTAGGCGACCAGCGCGAAGAGGCCCTTGAGCACGCAGGCGGCGATGTGCGTCCAGTTCATCATGCAGTGAAACTCGCTGGGCTGCTGCATGTTGCCCTCGAGCGAAGGCAGGAAAATCTGCGACGTGTAGCTGAACACGATGATGCCAATGGAGATGGGAAACTTCTTGACATCAATATAGAACTTGACCTTCTCCCAGGCCCAGTCACGCGCTCGCGATAGGCAATAAGCTATGACCAGGATATTGATGACGAAGTGGGCCAGAGTGCACAGAAGACTGAATTTGGACACAGCCTTGAGGTTCTTCAGGAAAGCGCAGGGCAGCAGCACGGCTGTGGCAATGATAGACCAGGACTTCTGCGACACGGGCAGCCCCGGGAAGCTGTTGTACATGAGGTTGCCGCTCACCACCACATAAAGGATGCAAGTCATCACCAGCTCAATGATCTGCGCCACGTTGACCACGCGGCCGCCGAGTGTGGGGAAGCGCGGCGCGCAGCATGCGTTGGCTATGGCCACGTAGGAGTCCCGCACTCGCACAACCTCGCCGTCCTCGTTTTCCTCATACAGGCACGCGATGAGGATCTTGCCGGTGTAACAGCACACCACCGCGGCGAAGATGATGAGGAACAACCCCAGGTAACCGCCGTGTAGGATAGCGTAGGGTAGGCCCAGCACGAACATGCCCTGTGGAATGGAGAGGCAACCAGACCCCGGTGCTCACAGTCAGCCTCGGAAGAAGGGCCCTGGGGGGGGGGGGGTGTGGCTTAAAGCTGTCGCAGGGGGGCGCTAAGGAGAATGAAAATTATGCCTAAACTGCTGAGAGACTGAGGGTAGAGCAGCACGGGAGTGTAAGGGGGCCTAATGGTGAGCCTGGGTGTTGAATCCAAGATGGACAGGGAGGTGTTTAAGGATGGAACCGAGAAGAAAAGATGGATTAATGGCTAAGAGGAATGTAGAGATACTGGGTAGTAGTTCTTGGGGATAGAAACAGGGGACCGGTCAGAGCCAAGAGGAGTTGAGAATCTGGAAAGAGCATAGTCAGAGAAAAGGAGATTAAAAAGGTAGAAAGCTGGGCCTGAGCACAGGATTTAAGGTGGGGCTGGAGTGGGGTGCAGGCTAACAGGGAAGCGGGATGTCTACGGAAGACCAAACCAGAGAAGGAACAAAGCAGCAGTGGGAAAGGATAGGGGGCACAGACGAAGAGGGACTGGAAGTGAGGCGAAGCCACAGGGAAGCAAAAATAGAGGGTGTCCGTGTTTGGGGGAGAAAGGAGGTGGGATTGGAAATAGGGAGCCTTAGGACAAAGCGCAGCCGGTTGGGGCCGGGGAACTAAATGGAAGTAGTAGAGCAGGGCAGGGAGTCTGGCTGCCCTAAAAGCTTGGGCGCAATGGGAAAGCCAAATCAATCTGGAGGTCTAGAACCAGAATCCATGAGGTGGGGCGAGCCAGGCTGAGGAAGCAGTTTAGAATCCACCTGGAGAAGAAAAGCTAACGAAATCTGGGGTCCCGGAGGCCTGCGCACCTCCAGCCTACAATCCTGGCCTCTCTCCAGGCCTCTCTAACGGGCCCTTGAAAGACGCTCCGGAGGAAGGCACCGGCGCCCGGCGACCACCAATGCGGGCGCCGCCCCCCAGCCTGTCCCTATTCTGTCAAAGCTGTGTCCACCGGCTTCAGTTCGGGCCACCCAGAAGTCCCGCTGAGCCTGTGACAGGGAGCAACCTCGCCGAGGACTTTCGCCCCTGGGAAACCTATGTTCTGCAATTCAACGAAGGTTCGTTCCGGGGACGCCACGGGGCCAAGCCACAGAGCACAGATGCTCTTGGAACTGAGGCCTCCTCAGTCCCTGAAGTAGGGACCTGCCAGCCCCTGCCAGTTCCCGGGGTCGTTGTGAGGACTCCTAACCTCTCAAGGGAGACTAGCGCCGCCTGGTGGGGAATGGGGATGAGGGGTTAGAGTAGGAGGACCAGGTAGGCAGCCTAGTGACACGGCCTGTTCTAAAGCTCTGGAGGAGGCTTCACTAGGGTCGTCCGAAGGGGCTGACCACTTCTTTTACGGTGCAGCCGGGATTTCGGCCGAGAGGGGCTAGTGAATGTGCAGCCCGGCAGCGTGGAGTGATGCGGGCCATATATGCTTGTGGGCATACTTGTGTGCGTTCCTAGGTGTTTGCCTTTAATGTCTCCAATAGGGCTGTCACGGAGGGAGCAGACTGGGTCCTGTCTGCATGAACGTGTGCTGGCGTGTGCACGTGTTATGTGTGTGTACGCTTGTATGTAAAGGTATGTGCTTCCGTGTGTGGGAGGGTGTAGAGATGTACGCAGGTCTATTTGGGATAGCCCTGTGATCTATAAATAGATGCGTGTCGCTTTTGTTCGTGGGGAGGGGGACTATGTACGTGTGCAATCTTACTGCGTGTGTCAGAAAAGGAGACTCCCAGCTCAGCTATTTCCCCCTCTCTTTTCATCCCGAAAATGAAGCTGTGAATCCATTCCGGAGTCCAAAGCAATAATACTCTTCCCTCCAATCCTGATTTTCTTTCTACCTCATCCCTCCCCGACCCCACCCCCACCCCCACCCCCACCCCTGTTTCCTTTGGTCTCTCGATGTGTCTCCCACATCAGCCAAAGCTGTCCTGCAGCTGAAGCGGTGGGAAGTGGTGCGAATCAGGGTGGGAGACATCATCTAAGGGCGTAGATCTCTGCGCAAGGCTAGGAGGTCTAGGGGAAAGGGAGATAGATTCTCGGGCACTGGAGAAGGTATCGCAAGCTAGATCACCGCAGGATTTGTGTGGCAGCAGAGCCTGATACTCAGAGGTGGGTGGGGGGTGGGATGCGGGCAGGCGCAGATGGGAATCCCGCGCTCACCTGAATGGCGTTGGTCACGTTCCAGCCCGCTTCCCACGCCGTGATCTTGGGCTTGTCATGACCCCCGAACTCTCCACCGGCCCCTACTGCCTGGTCCTTAGAGCCTGAGGGCGGCAGCGGAGCGCCGCCGCCGCGTTGGTAATGGATGTCTCCCTCGACGGGCGGTTCGGCGCCCTCGTCCCCACAGGGCTCGCCTTCGGTTTTCAGGATGTCCATCTGCAGGCCTTGACGGTGCTCAAAGTCTAGGTCGTCGCAGTGCGCGAAGCCCACGGCCTCCTCGTCCGTGGCCGCCTGAAAACCCATCCTGGCAAACATGCCACTCACCTTGGCCTGGGACTTGTTGGACACGGTTGTGGCCACATTGGACAGCTTGCTGCGGAGCAGAGTGGCCATGGCGGCGGCCGGGCCCGGAGGAAAAGATAGAAGGGACGGGAACGCGGTGGGCGCGCGTCAAGACCGCGAGGGCCAGGGGGCGCGAGGCCGCTATCTGTTCTTGCTCTCCCCACTGCGCCCCGGGGCGCTCTGGCTCATGACCCTCTCAGCTGCCGTTTGAGGCTCTCTCGGGGCCAGACCCTGCAGGCTAGCAGCAGAACTGGCCGAGCGGCGGCGACGGCGGCTAGTGCACTGCGGAGCTGCTGCCGGGCTCAGGCTGGGCTGCGGAGGGAGGCGGCGGCGGCGGCGGCAGCGGCGTCAGAGCAGCTACGCGAGGCTGGCGCGGCGCCCCCACCCGTGCGCAGCCCAATGCGCTCCCGCCCCTTGGAGTCAGGCGGTGCGGGGGTGGAGGTTGGCAAGGGGAAACACCCCGAGGTAGGGGGCGTGAGGAGAGGGTCAAGGAGAAGGGACTGGGGGCACGAAGGGATTTAGTAGTGAGTCGGGGGCAGAAGGGCGCCCTTGGGAAGGCGCGGGAGGGAGCCAGCGAAAGGGAGCATGGAAGGAAGGGTGGGGGCCGAAGTGCTGCATTTCTGGAGGAGGTGCTAAGCTCGGATCCTGGCCCTTCCCACCCAGCCGCCGCAGGGAGGGAGGGGTTCAGGGTGGACAGATTCTCCCGGTCCCTCCGCCCCCGGACCAACCGTCTTGAGTACAGGAGCTGGGCGGCCTCAGATCCTCGCTTAGAACTGATCTGGGCACCCAGAACACCAGCAGGACAGTTACTGGTCTCTGGCTGAGCGGACCGTCCGGGCATCGGTGTGTATCCCTGGCACACAACAGTCGCACTTAAACCTGGCCACTAATGCCTTTTCGAGACAGAAGTGATGGGCACGGATCGCTTGCTCTCAAGGATGCTCAGCCTGGGTTGGGTCACCTGAATTGTTTGTTCCTGTCCAGGGACTCCGCGATGGAAGCCATTCGGCAGATTATTCGCTACTAATCACTCTCCAAGTGTGTGCAGGATGGAGGCGAAAGGTTCGCTTTTTCCCCTCCTCTCGTTTAGGGGACCTGGAAGAAGGCAGGATTCAGAGGACAGCTCTCAGTAACTATGAGGGTCTTCGAATGCCCCTGCTGAGAGCGGCGCAGTGGGTGTCTGGCGCAGAGGAAAGGGCTCACAGCACTGCGGGCCCTGCGCTCAGAGGCACGAAGTGCGCTCCGCATCTGCTCAGACCACAGCCACCCGGGCTGTCAGAGCGTGGGCCGCTTCAGTTGAGTGGGGTGCGTGTTTGTACGAGAAAGACCCAGAGACAAAGACACATACTCTATCAGATATTGCAGTGGACTGGATCTGTGTGAACTCTTCGGTGAGATTCCGAAACCGTGTGTATTCCGTGTGTGCGTTTTCGTGCGCATTGGAGTCTGTATGCGTGAGGAGCTTGTGTGCTAAATTATTTGGGTATAGGCGTTCCCGAATGGGATTGCTGGTGTTTGTGTATGTGAGTCCCTTGGTCGTGGGGGTCGGCTGCTTTGTGTGTGTGTGGGGGTGGGTTCACTCCTGGTATGTCCAGGCTGGGCTTCAGACTCCTCCTAAACCGTAAACCACAGGGATCCACCTGGTAATCCCAGCCTAGATGGAGGAGAAATGACTGGGCCGGTAAAGGGAGAAGTTTGAGGAAAAGAAAAAGGAAGGGGCCCCCAGTCTCCCCTCTCCAGAGGCCCTTTCTCCCTGGGAACTCCAGTCCCTTCCCCTGCAGTATTTCTGAATTAATTCACCTCAGCGCACAAGTAGGGCGGCCTGAGGGCTTTGACCAGTGAGTTGGAGCTGTCAGGACAAGAGAGGCTTTCCAGCCCACCCTTATCCCAAGGGCCTCACAGTCTCCAATTCTCCTCTCCTGCTAGGGAACCTCTATCACACTTGGTAGAGATGCCCCTCAGAACTCCCTTAAAATATTCCAGGAGCTCTGCAACTCTCACCTCCTGCTTGACAGAAACCCTGCCCCTAGACTGAAGATTTTTTCCCCCACCTCCAACCACTCTGATCAGGCAACCTCTCCAAGTTGACCAGACCCTCCTACTTATGATAGGACTCAAAGCAAAGACCAGACAGAGAGTCTTCCTACTGAAACACAGAGATCCCCTCCTCCTATGAGGCTTTGAAATAGAACAGATCCTCCAGCCCAGAGATTTTCCCTCTATAGAGACCCTACCTACCTCTACCCCCGACCCCTGGATGCAGGAGAGCCTTTGTCCTTCAGGTTCCTGTAGCCAAAGATCTCTATCTCCTATCACCCTCCACCCCTGCCCCAATTCCTGGTGGAATTCTTTTAATCTACATGACATGATCTGGGCTGAGATTCCTTCATAATATTTTCTACTACTTCTCCCCACCCTGTACAGACCCAGAACTTAAAATGGTCATTGATGCTTTCTTTTTTTATATACCTTGATTTCATTTGTTTATTTTTATTTTATTTTATTTTTTATGTGGTGCTGAGGGTGGAACCCAGGGCCTCACATGTGCTAGGCAGGTGCTGTACCACTGAGCCATAAATTCAGCCCCTGATGCTTTCTTTGACAAGGGCCTCCAAAGTGCTCACCCTCTCTCTCTCCTTTCCCCTTACAATGGTCATTGCTGTAGGGCCAAAGGTGAGAAGTGAGATCCTTTATTTATCCACCCAGTGCACTTTTTCACACCCTCACTGTGCATGTGACTCTCTTCTGCCTACACTCAGTTCTGCCTACCCAGTTCTTGAGCTGGGAGGAAGCTCAGAGAGCACTCAGATCAATTATCTTTTCTTCCAGGCTTAAAACATCCCAACAGAGACTCCATTTCATCCTAATTTTACAGATAAGAAAATCTACATCCACACCATGAAGTGTCCTCCTCAAGGTCACAGAGAATTCAGGTTAAAGCCTGGTGAGAACTCAGGAATCTTGGCATTCCCCCCCAGTGGGTCTTCCCCTCCACAACCTCATCTCGTCTTTCCACCCTCTCTTCCTGATTGTGTGGTACTTGGCTACCTCTCTGTCCAAAGAAATGAAATTCAAAATCAAATTTCGGTTCCTCTGGCTGCAATTAGCTGTCATCAGCTGGGGAAGGAACTTCACTATTTTCCTGCTGTTTGCAATAAGTGCCTTTTCCCAGGCTGAAGGTGCCCATGGCAAGCTCCCAAGTAGCCCCCTCCCTTATGGGAAATTTCTGTTCTATCACATACTGGTTCTGTGACATTGACTACTTAACTTCTCTCATCCTCATTTTCTCATCCCAAAAGTGTGAAAATAATAATATCAGCCTCAGAATTACTGAGAGAATTCAATGAGATCTTGTATATAAAGTGTTTAGCATGTGCTAAATGCCCAATACATGGTAGCAATTACTTCTTTCATTATTGTTGCTACTTTATCCAATTGCCATTTCTCATGGGGGGGGGTGAGTGTATAAGGAAAAGCCTGTGATAGGGTCTGAGAATCTGAGTGAGTTGAAATGTGATGCTCCTCACTTTTGCCCTGGCTGTCTCTGTCCCTGCCCTTTCCAGTCCTGAGTTGACCTGGAGAGAAGGGAATGGAGGTCTTGGGTAGGGCAGAGGGCAGGTGGTTCAGGAAAGGAACAGGATGACTTACCTAGCTGGTAGTGAGCTGGACTGTGCCCTAGAGAAGTCACCGGCCTCCAAATTATCCTCTATAGCTTCTCTCGGGGCACCTGTCCCCACAAGAAGAATCTACACAGTCTGGTCCTCTGATTGAAACAGCACACACACACACTCAGAGAGAGAGAGAGAATGACAAGCCGAGTGACAGATGCACAAAGACTTGAACACCAGCATACAGATTCTGACATATTGGTAGTCTTACATAGATTGACCGAGGGACACACACAGGACAAGGACAGGCTGGACCATAGACCACATGCAAGGTTTGTACCAAGACTGCTCACCACTCAAAGAAACCAGGACAGTCACCAGCGGATCCGTTTGTATGGACAGAGTCACCCAGATCACAGACTTAGATACACAAGGACAAATACACAGATGGAGAATCACACGCTGACTGGCTCCCAGTCACAAGAAAACATGCAGGCGCGCAGGCAGGCACGCAGGGACTCACGCTGAGGCCAATGGTCGGGAAGAGCCCCATGTGATTGCTGAAGGGGAAAAGAGGAGAGAACAAAGGGGGAAAGAGGCAGGGAGAAAGGAACAAGTGAGAGGCCAAACCATGCCAGGCAGAGCCACCAGCCAGCGGGGACAAAAGAGGCAAAGGTGCCACAGCCTTCCTCTTTGCTGGTGTCAAGCCCCAGATCCTGTGACAAAGAATCCAGGGAGGCGAGAGTGTACGGGGAAAGAACAGAAGCCATCTCTGCCAGCGTGGGGTGGGGTGTCTCCTCCCCAGGCCATACAGGGTCCCATTATCTTGGGGAGACTGGGACTTACTGAGAGGGTGGAGGTAAGGGGCTCCCAGGATTCCTGTCTAGCCCCATGAAGCAGGGACTTCTGGGTCAGGATTCTGGAAAAGGAAGGCTCTGAACAGTCCTCTGGAGCCAGGGTCCAGGTGAAACGCCTAACCTTCTCCTGATACATGAGCCTTAATCCTCAGTTTTTTTGATGCCTTTGGTACCCAGGGGGTTAAACGCTTGGCTAATAGATATGGAGGCCACTTTGGGGGAATAAATAGAACTAAATAGAACTGGGCTTATCTCCCAGAGCAGGCAGCAACATGGGGGGAAGGAGGGGCATGGAGCCCTTGAATTAATGGCCTGGAAAGCCAACATCACGAACATCATTTTGAGGCTGAATGATCACAGGCAGACCCCTTCCCCCTCCCCAGACTGTGGCTCAGAGCCCTCCATTATCAGGGCAAGGTCTGTCTGTGAGCTTTTTCCTGCTGAGGGGACAGGCGCTGGCTCCATAAATCACCCCTACCCCCCAGGCATCCTGCAGCTGGGGCATTGGTAACGTTCCCCTACAACTGGAGACGGCCACACTTGCTTGTCCCAAACCAATTTCTTGATGCTGTGTCCCTGAGTACGAGGGAAGAGAGGGGCAGCAGGGCTGAAGGCTTCAAGTCAACATCTCTTGCATAGAACAGAGACCCTGATTCTTCTGCCTTCAACTGGACACAGCAGGTGTAACCAGGGAGGGTGTAGGTAGCTCAGGGTAAGACATATTAAGATACATTAGACATAGCAGTACACATCCATAATACCAGCCACTGGGGAGGCTGAGGCAGGAGGATCACAAGTCCAAGGCCAGCCTCAGCAAGTTAGTGAGACCCTGTCTCAAAACTAACTAAATAAATAGGGCTGTAAATGTATCTCAGTGGTAGAACACTCCTGAGTTCAGTTCCTAATACTGAAAATAAAATAAACAAAATACATCAGCAGTGATTGAATATATATTAGCCGTTTTCCTTGCTGAGGTAGTGAGCATAGCCTCTCCAGAGGTGTAAGGCAGAGGCTGGATGCCTTGTCGGAGGCAATGTCCAGAGGAGACCTGCCTCAGGGCCAGGGAGACTGGGCTTCTAGGTTGATGCTTTCTTATTTTTTATTTAAAATATTTTTTTTTAGTTGATACTTTCTATATGGAAGGAAAGGGGCCAGGGAGCAAGGGACACATGGACCTATGCCTTGCTCCTGGCAGCCTCTAAAGCCTCAAGAAACTGCTCAGAACTGAAGGAGGAGCCCTGGACCTGATTGGTGGGTTAAGGCTACCTGTCTCGCTCTTTTCTGAGCATGCAGCCTCCTATTATGCTGCAGAGCAGGGAGCATGTCGGTCTTATTTCCCACTGGGTCTCCAGCACACAGTAGACATTCAATAAACATCCCTGGGGTTGGATTAAATTGATGTCACAAAGCCATTGTCCCCCATGCACTTTTAGCATGATTGGTTGAGGAAACATATATAAACGGCCAAAGTCCAGCCCTGAATTCTGAGTTCTATAACTCTTCTACATGAACGCGCTTTTTAATACTTGTGGAGTTGAAAGCTAGCCATCCGTGCACATGTGAGCTATAAGTTTTGTTCAGAGAAGACCTGGGCTGCACTCCCAGATTCAGGGACTCCTGAAAAGAACTTGCAGCACCCCTTAGGCACCTGTGGGCCACCAGCTGGGGGAGACGGCCATGGCAGAGGTGGGATCCAGGGAGCCCTGTGATAAGGAACCCTGAACTCCAGGAATACAAAGGGACTCCAGATCTGACCCTCCAGCCTGGTGGTACAGAGCACCTCTGTTGTCCTTGGTGTGCCCTGACATGGTTGAAAGCACTCTCTGGAGCTCATCCCCTTTCTCACAATCCTCAGGTTAGTCCATTATCATCACAAGAGGCTTCAGACCAGACCTGCAGGACTAGACCTGGGTAAATGGTCTTGGATGCTTGGATGACACCCGGGGAAAGGGGAAGGTTGGAGCCAGCAGAGCTGATCCTTATACTTCAGTTAGAAGTGTCAGGCTCAGCCTATCCTCATCCAGATCAAGAATAACCCATCTCACTGTGGGTTCAAAATTGTGTCCCCCAAATTCATATGTTGAACTCCTAACCCCCGGTGTGACTGTATTTGGAGATAGAGCCCCTAAAAAAATAGTTAAGGTTCAGTGAGGCCAAACGGGTAAGGTCCAGATCTGATAATATTATCATCCTTAGAAGAAGAGACACAGAGACCTCTCTCCCTTCCCACCATGATGTGAGAACACCAGGGGGAGGCAGCTGTCTGCAGGCCGGGAAGAGGGCCCTTACTGGATATTTGTTCTGCTAAATCTTGATCTGGGACCCCCAGCCCCCAAAACTGCAAAAAAAAAAAAATGTTGGTTGCACAAGGCTCCTGTCCAGAGCATTTTGTGTTGTCATTTATTATAACAACTTCTGCCAGCCCCTGACCAGCACTAGCTCAGGGACCCAAGAATTTTCTAGGTCACAGCCCCTGTGAACATCTAATGAGACTATACATCTCCTCTCCAGAAACAGACACAAATGCTGGACAACGTTTCAAATCCCCTAAAGCCCATTCCTGATGATCGATGGCTTCCAGCCTAAGGACCCAGTCTTGAAGCTTCTTTCTCTTTCTGTTCTTTTGAGATCTGGAGTCAGGTGAGTTATTGACATTAACATTTAAGAAACCCTTATTCTCTGCCAGGTTCTAGACTTACTGCTTGACCTGGGTGACAGCTTATGTCCAAGCCTCACAGCATCTGCTTGAACGTGATTCGGTTTCATGCCCATTTTACAGATGGACACACTGGGAGGCAAAGTGGTTATAGGTCTTGCAGCTAGGTAATAGTAGACCCAAGATTCAAATCTAAAATCAGAGCTGTCCTTATAACCTCAGGACTCCAGGTGAGTCTGCTGGGAAGGGCTGGGGTCTGTGAGTTCCAGGAAGGGACTACAATCTGCATCCAGCTCCCTGTGGCCAGGATGTCAGCTATGTCCACTCTGGGCCACCTCTGTCTCCTTCCTGGCGGTATAGAAAACTCCTGGGATAGGGAGAAGCGAGGCAAGGACCAACTACACAGCAGGTGCTCAGAGAAGCTTGTAGATTACCCTGAACTCTGGGTGAGGTCTGGCCTCAATAGTCTGGGTACATGTCCTGGGCTTTCTAGCCCTGAAAATACATGGCTCTTTCCTACAGGATAACTTAAACCTGATAAAATCTCCTGGGACATTGATTATTTCCTAATTCGGTGTGTATTAGCTTGTTATCAAAAATGGTTAAATTCTATATTGTATTGTTTTATATCTTAAAAAAAAATCTACCAGCAGATTCTAGGTCTCCCAGATGACCAGATTCTGCTTTAATTGTCGTGAAAAACAACAGGGTTGGGGCAGGGGCTAAAAGCTGAAGCAAACAAAGCCATATTCACCCAGTAAGTGTGATTTTAATTTCAGAAACACACCATCCATCACATTAAATTAATTGAGTTATTTTGAAATTTCTGATTTTTGAGTTGTACGTTGTCTTTGTTTTTCCAATGGCAAAATTGCTAAAAGGATAAGGAGTTTACACCTGACATTATGTTGGTGCATATTTCAGTTAAATTGCAATAAAGATAACTTGTCCATTGTTGGTAGGGGGCTGTGATGTTTTCCCCCTGAGAAGTGGTTCCTGTGTTACTCAAGTGTGAGAAGCATGCATTTAATTCATTCTGACCAAGGAGAAAATAAGCTTCACACATTGGTGCCCCACACACAGCCACTGCCACCTGGATGGGTCCCCATCCTCCATTCGGCTCCCCCACTGTTGCCTTGGAGGGGAAATATGACAGCGTAATGAACAGTTGTACGTCGTGCTATAAAAAGGCAATTAAGGGAACTATTGGACTGGGACAAGCCAGCATGACCTGGTTAATAGCTCTGAGCAGAGCTGGGCCGAGGGGAGGATGAGGGGGAGGGGGAGGGGGAGGGGCTTGCTGTTGTACAATGAGGGGCTGAGGTTGTACTGCCTGTTGGTAGCAAAAGGTACCCAGGCTGGCCTCGTGACCGCTGGGTCCAGGGGCAGCCTGAGGGGCACGTGGGTTCAGAGCTCAGTCCTGCTGTCACTGCTGGTGGAGTGACCCTGAGCAGGTGACTCACAGTCTCTCAGTTCAGTTTACTCATCTGTTAAATGGGGAGAGAAGGAGCATCCTGGAACCCTGTCCTTGCAGCGGGAGGAAGGAGCGGGGCACTCACGGTGCAACGGATCAGAGCAGAGTTGCAGAGAGAACCCAGAGGAAGACAGGGTGGAGACTTCTTTGCGTTCGAGTGAGATCTTTCAACATCGTGCGATCCACGGCTGAGTGGTGTGTTCCCGTCTAATCTGTTCACCAGGTGTCTCACCCTCTGCGGAAGGTGAGCTCTCAGATTAGATCTCCTGCGGTCACCATGGGTCATCCATCTTGAGGCCACCTTTCTTGTTTGGACCTTCTCTCTCATCTCCTCAGACCCTGTTTCCTCCACATGCCGCTATTTGTAGATCACCTTTGGCATAGAGCAGCTTCAGATGGGGACAGAGAGAAACGCTTCCTGTCCCACTGGAATGGCTGCGGAAGCCCTCTGCTCCAGATCCCACTGTGCTGGTGGGAGGATCAGTGAGTCTTCACCTGGAAAGCAGGTAGTGATCACCTGGCGTGTGGAAATGCACAAGGAATGCCAGTTACTGCTTCTGGGTTTATACTTAACAACTGGCACAGTGACTACCACAGAGTAGGTGCTTAGCCTATGTTTGTTGAATGAATGAATGAATGGGACTCACTCTTCCCATTGTCTACTATCTGTGATCTCTGAGCCTCAGTTGTCCATTAGTCAAATGGAGATTGGATCCTACTACTAGAAAGTCCTGCCCCTGTGGGAACTGACTCTGTCTCCCCTCCACATTCATCTATGCCTGAGAACTCAGGAAGCACTCAGCTCCCCACCACGTGTTCATCCTAAAATAGGAAACAAGTGGTGCCCAGGGGTCTGCATGATCCCCACAGCCCCCTCCCTACTGCCTCCCAGGGAAGTGGTTCTGAGAGCAGCCCGGCAACAAAGGAGCAATCAAGAGTCATTAGGGTAATTCAAGGGTGGCTTGGTGATTGGCTAGGAGTCCCCAGCATGTTCCCTGCACCAGATTAAGTGGGTCTGAGACCCTGGGCTCCCAAAGGAGATCGGAGCCAAGCAGGTGGTTCAGGAGGTCGGCCTGTCACCCAGGGCGGCTGTGGCCCTCCAGGTCTGGGCTGGTGTCCCCAGCCACTGCAGGCTGCCTCTGTGGGCATGATGCTCACCGGGCGGAATTCCACAGTCAGGTCTGGTCTTTTCCATCCTCCAGCCGCCCTCACCTGAAGTGTAAACTCGCCCCTCGCCCCACAGCCTGACCCCAGCGGGCCTGAGCGACTTCCTGTCCAGCAGTTCAACTGGACCTCTTAGTTCTGGCTACAGCAAGTCACTTGCTCCCACCGCAGCTCCCATTTACTCTCATTTCTGTGGTTCAGAAGACGCCCTCACGTGTCAGGCAGGACTAAGACCAAATCCAATCTCCACCATTTTGGAGCTGTGTAGCCAGAAGGCTCCTTCTACCCAGAGAGCCGCATTCTCCTCATGCAATCAAGGGGTGTAACAAGACATCCTCTTAATCGGGCTGAGAGGAGTCGAGGAAGTAAAGCACCTAGAACATGTAGTACGTCCTTCGTGGCTATTTGCTACGGCTATTAACATCCTTAGGTCACTGCTTAGAGGTCACTTCCTTGGGAATCCCTCTTGATTCTCACCTTTGGTAGGTCCCCTAAGTACTCGTACCATCCTCTGTGCTTCGTGCATGGGTGGCCTTGTATCCTGGTGCTCAGCAAGGAGCCTGCTATGAGGAGGCTGAATCAGGGGAGGTGGAACTGAGTCCCCAAGCCACCCAGCTGTACCCTGGGGCAAGATCTGCTCTTCATTCCAGCCCCTGCTGGGGTGTCTCCCGCCTATCTCCAGGCCTCTCAAGCCTGTCTTGCCCAAGGAGCCTCCGTGGACCACCCCAGTTCACAATGGTGTATAGAAGAACAGAATTCCATGTTCTCTTCTGCCGTATACAGCCTAGAAGGGCCTGTGTTTGAGCCGAGCCTGGGCTCTCCATGATAGTAATCATGGCTACCACTCATCAAGGACTTGCTTTCCATCTAGTATGCTAAGTGCCCCTCATGTGTTGTCTCGTCTGATCCTCAGCTTCAGCCACTTAGGTCCAAAGGGGCAGAGCTGGGAGGATGCTGCGGTCCGAGGCGATCATGGGGAAGGCTGAGGGCAACGTGGCCTCAGGAGAGCTAGAACCCGGGGCTCTCTCTGTTTCTCACTTCCTCTCCTCTCCACACATCACCTTTAGACATGACACAGCTCTCAAGTCTTCAGTCTCGTAAATGTCATTGATGGACTGGGCCCCCACTAACTGATCTTCCAGATGGAGTGGGACTGGCTAGGCGACTTAAGGACTTTGGTCAGCTTGAGTCCAGCCTCCTCCCCCGACTAAATCAACTGTAGTCAGAAAGTCACTGTCATATGATGATGCGTGAGCCTATGGCTAATTCAACTGTGGCCCTGTGAAGTTGGTGTTGGGGAAGACAGTTCTCACGGAGAAAAGAGGTGCTGAGCAGTCAGGGTCCCAGGTGTCTACCACATACCACATGCTTGGAGACCAAGGAATAGACAGCATGGGCACCTGGCCCGAGATACTCAGCCTCAAGAGACAAGAGTTCAGATCCAGATCTGCCACCAGAGACAGAGGGGCTTCTCAGAGATGATTCTGAGACCTCAAAGCCAAAGACAGGGATCCTGGGGAAGCTGGGAGCTTCACACAGGAGCCCAGGAAAGAGGCCAAAGATAAGTCTATTCCAAGAATGAGCAAACCCTGTTACAGAAAGGGCATCTACTCACACAGAAGACTGTGCCCAGCCTCCCCTCAGCCGGGAAGATACCCAGGCTCAAAAGGTGCTCACAGGACGGTGCTTAGTACAGCCTGTTGGGGTCCTCCCTGTGCCCTTGATCCTTGCAGCTGCAGACCAAAGTTGGATTTTTCTTCTCAGGGACATGCAGCCTGGGCTGCCTTGCCCATCAGCATGAAGGTCAACAAAGGAGGCCTCTTCCATGCTAAGGTGTAAAAGTCCAGAGAATGTGCTCACCACAATCCTCAGAGTTTCTGAGATCATGATCCCACAGACAGGGAGAGCTCCTTGCCCCTGGCAGCACCCACACCCCTCACAGTTGGGCCAATCAGAGCGTGCCTTGGGTCCTCTCCCCAAGTTTGTGGTGAGGGGATTTAGCTCCTGGAGTCCTCAGTGCTCAAGGCTCCTGGAAAGCATCTGTGCCACCGCCGCACCTGCTAGCACAAATGTCATCCCGATGGCTGCAGGGCCCCTCTACCAGGTGAGGGCTATCCCAGTGCTTCTCGGGGTCAAGGAGGAGTGCAGGGAGGCAGGGACAAAGTTTCATTCTTCTTTTTCTCCTTGGCCCCTTGATCCAGGCCTTGGAGTTTCTCCTCTTCTTCTTCCTCCCCAGGATGGCCTCTGACCCTCCCAGAGGTCTTTCCTGATGTCTCTATCCCCAGAAGCCACCACCAGCCCTGCCCCTCAGCCATGTGGGAGCACACAGAGACCGCAGTCTACGGAAGAGAGAGAGAGATGTGGAGTTCAGGGAAATGGCTTTGGAAAGCTCGAGGCTCCTGGGAATTCATCTGATGTTTTCTGGTCCAAGATCAATAGGTCAGAAGATCTCCAAGCCCTTAATTACACTGAGTCCTGGAGGAGATGAGGCGCTGACTAAGGCATTGACTGAGCATGCCCACCCCACCCAGGCATCCGGCAAGAGGGAGATGCCTATTTAACATTTTCTTGGAGCAGAAAATGTCATTTCTTGATTTTTTTTCTTATTTCACACGATTCAGAGACTTATATAATGTATATAGTGAAAAATTTTCCTCTAATTCCTGTTTTCCCTCTACTCACTCTATGATTCTTCTGTGTCTACTGTGACCAGTTTCCTAAGGAACCTCTCATTTGCCTCTACAACCATATAAGCAAATACGGAAATTTGTTCTTAATATCCTCTTCCTTTTTTTTTTTTTTTAACACAAAAGAGGAATTCTACATCTTTTGTGAACTTTGCTCTCCTAAACTTTATTTTAGTTCTTTCATAAAAATAGAGGAATGATTTATCATTTGTTTTAGGAATCAAGTTTATTGACTGTGGGGTTCAGAGGTGGCTTATGTCTAAGAATTTTTCCTTTGAACAAACAAAGATTTTTGGAAATTTTTCGAACTTTCTACCAAGTGGGGGGAGGGGAGGCTTGGAGGTTTACAGGACAAGTGCTCTCTGTTCCGTCTCCTAGATCAGACACAGGATTATTTTCTTCTTCTTCAAGCCTGACATTTACAAAAAGAGGAAACTACACCACAATATCCTCTGTATGTGGAAGTTCTGGTGATAGAAAGCTTTCTGAAGAAGAGAACTTATATTTTACAAATATAGCGGAGGGTTTCCGTTTAATTATGGTAAGGGTCTTCTAGGCGGGGGTCTCTAGCCTGCTTCGTCATTAGTCTATCCCTCCCCCTTCTGGAAATTTGGGCACCACCACTTTTTGCTCCTTTTATGGTTCTTTCTGGCCATCATGGTGACTGTTGACCTTCATGGCACTGGAGAGTGTCCTTTATCCTGCAGATGGAATTATAATGAATTTCGAGGTCACTCTAGCGCCATTCTAGATCCAACCCATTTTGGCCAGCCCACCTGAGGAGGATTCCTGGTCTTCAGGCTTCCTGTCCTCAAAGATGAGCAAGATTAGGGTGGGATCAAAATTTAGCTGGGTCATGTCGGCATCAACCCCTCACCACACCACTTACCCTGCTCACCTCAAGAGTTACTTTTTACTCCTCACCTTGAAGGGTTCTGAAGGGCAAAGTTCTGTCTTCTGTAACAATTATTTATCATCTTTAAGGATGGACAATAGGTAGCAATCTTTCATTCTCCTTCCCCATGCTCTACAGTTTCCCCAATACATAGGACATTCATTCATTCATTCATTCATTCATTCATTCATTCATTCTTTTATTCAGCATTCACTGATCCCCTGCTCTGGGCTGGGTTCCATGCTTGGTGCTGGGGCTTCAGAAATAAATTAGCCCAGCCCACTGTTTTGGGGGTTCAGAGGATAGGGCACATGCAGCTCACCTTGCAAGCCGTGACTGAGGTAGGAGGTGACCCCTCATTCATTTTAATGTCTGTGCTTTACCTTTTGTATGATCTGAATGGAGTTTTCTCTTTTCCTCCCTTTGCTGCCCTATGACCCTAAACCTGCCCATCCTGATGTCCAGAGGGATTGGTTTCCCCCATTTGGAGGCAGTGAT